CCGTGGAGCACAGCTCGCCTCTGACACACATGGAGTTGTCATGAGTTAGGCAGCTGGACCAACCAGTTGGTAATTGGTGTCTCTTGCCTGTTCCTCACCGTTGACTTTGCTTGGACGCTTCTGCAGACTTGCACGACTGTTGTTGCTGGGTCCCACGGAGCCAACCTGGACTCGTAATGACCCCACGCAACAGAGCGGACCTACCCCACAGGATTTTCTAGGCTGTAATCTCTAAGGGGTGGGTTGCCAGGTCTCTCTCCCATGGAGCCTGGGTGGATCCAAACTGCCAGCCTTTCTTTTAACAGCCAAGGGCTTCATTTTTGTGCCACCAAGTCTCCTCCTAAAACCGCTAGATGATAATATTATCTTTATCATTACGTTTACCAAGCCAGGTGTAAGCTGCGGGTGCAAACCAAGCACATTTTCTTAATCAGAACAGCCCAGAGATGAGTACCTGGGCTCTGTGTCCAAATCCCACCTGGTATTCTGGCGGCCTGGCCTTGTGCAGTTTGCTCAGCCATCCCCTCTGTGGGCCTCACCTTCCTCAGTATAAAATGGGAACATCAGAAGTCCTAGCACCCGTGCTCGCTGCTAGTGGCCGTCGGTGGACTCGCCGTATGGCCCTGTGCGTCTCCGGGTAGAACCTGCTCTGGGGTTTGGAGGCTGTGACCCTTCCCAAGCACACAGAGTTGTGGGAAGTCTCAGTGGCGGGACCCACGCCTGTGGCTGTGGCTGTGGTCCTCATCCTCTCCTGATAGGGCCCGTTCCAGGAGGCCGTGACGTCACCTCCCACCTAAGGGGCTTTATTTTCCTTGACTCTTGAGAACCCTTCCCTCTGAGTCCCTGCCTCTCAGAAGGCTCGGTTAAACGTTCTCTTTTCACAATGCAGAGAGCCAAAGACTGTGTGATGAAAGAGAAAATGGCTTTCATCTTCCGACGCATTGGCTTCTTTCTGCTTTGTTTTGTTTATTCAACCATCAGGAAAGCGTTTTCCCCTGTCTACCCTACGACTCTCATTAATACAATCATCCTCAAAACTGAGGTAAGCAAACAAAACCACAGATGTGAGCCAGCAAGCAAATGAGACTCGTATGTGGGGAGAGACGTGGGCAGCTCGAGGAGATAGGGAAGCTTTTCTTTCTTCTTTTTAAATTATCTGTAATTAGTGGGAAAGAAAATATGTGGACTATATTAAAAATAAGCTCTTTATTTTTTGAGGAAAAAGCTGTGGTAAAGAGCAGGAATGCAGTTCCTTTTTATTTACATGAATTGAGATAATTGGGACTCTCATGATGAGTGTAAGTTTCCGTCATAAATAATACCACCATCTGTGATAAATGGATGCTCCCTCTCTGAATAGACGCAGTGGAACATTCGCCAGCCATATGCTATATGCACGGCAAAGGCGGTGATCGGGATTCGGCCGTAAACGTGTACATCAGGCAACGCTGAATCCCTCCTGATGCCGGAATCTGAGCAATCTATTTTCTTCTCTTCCATTTTCCAACTGTTTTGGAGGCACAGTGGAGCATGTTTACGTTCGGATCAACAAGGTAAACCTGAAATACTGTTTGGATTGTAAAGAGCACTGAAGAAAACACCAAGGACGTGACACGCAGCATGCAACGAGCTTGCAGAAGGGCCTCTGTACGTCAGGGCTTGGGCAAACTACAGCCCAGGGGCCAAAGGTTTTGCGTGGCCCACGAGCTAAGAGTATTATTTACATTTCTAAGCCACTGGGGGAAAAATTAAAGGAAGAAGATTATTTTCTGACCAGTGAGAATTATATGAAATGCAGAGGCTGGTGTTTATAGATAAAGTTTTATTGGCACACACATGCTTTGTCTGCGTTCTGCCTGTCGCTGCCTTCTGCTACAATGGCAGAGTTGGATATGTGCAAACCACTCCCCAGAAGGAAGGTTGGGCAATCTACTTCCATAGTGATAACTGCTTCGGAACCCCAAGGAGGAGTCACTGAGTTGGGTCCCACTAGACAGCAGTGCATTGCATTGTTTGGGTACATGCCAGTAGGGTAAAACGCTCTCCGCCCCTTTGCAAAGAAAGGTGGCCAAACCCTGCTCTCCATGGCTTTTGGAGTCAGAAAGCGTGAGCTTACACACAGCGGAGGTGGATCATCTAAATTTGGGCTGAAAAAAGAGAAAGCCTTCTGGCACATTGAGAGTCTGCTGGGTCACAGAACTGAGAACACCTGGAGAAGGGAGGATTCCGGCTGCTTCACCTGTTGGTTTACATTGTCTTAAACACCACTTGGCCAGCCCACTGCTGACTTGTCTGCCGGGGACCTCCTGTGTACCTTCAAGATGGCGGAAGCATGAGTCGACAACCTGGTCCCTTACTTGCTTTGGTGGCCATCTTAAGAGTGAGGGTACTTGTTTCCCAGAAGCCCCAGCACACGCCTTCTCGTTGGCCCAAATTGGCCTGGGCCAGGCTTTCTCAAAGGAGCTCTGGTGGGGTAGTGGTTAAGGCATTTGGCTGCTAATCATAAAGGTTGGGGGTTCAAACTCACCAGCAGCTCTGCAGAAGAAAGATGGGGCAGTGCGCTTCCATGAAGAGTTACAGCCTTGGAAACCCAGTGGGGGTTGCTCTGAGTCGGAATCGACTCTATGGCAGTGAGTTTGGTTTGTTTTTGGATGGTTTCTCAGTCCCAGCATGGTTGCCATTTTGGTGGGGGCTGTCCTGGGCACTGGCTTAAGCAGCTGCTAGTTACCATTGAGGCAGTTCCAGCTGCTGGCAAGCCCATGTGGGTCAGAACAGAACTGAGTTCCTGGGGCTGTCAGTGGCTGGTGTTTTTAGAAGTGGATTGGCCACACTTCTCTCCAGAGGTGCGTCTGAGTGGATTCAAACCTCCAACCTTCCATTAACTGTCTGCACCACCCAGTGACTCTAGTTACTGGGGACAGGTGTGGAATGACGCTGTTGGGGTTGACCTGCTGAAGGAATGCTGCAGTTCTGCCCACACCTCGAGTTTAGCCTTGTGACCTCCAGTTCTCTAAGAGAATGAATTTGTGAGGTTTTCTAAAAAAAATGTGACCAGCTGCTTTGTGGGACACAAATGAGGCAGTCTGTTTCCGTGAAGACTGACAACCTTGGACACCCTGTGGGACAGATTTAACACGATCTCAGAATCATTGAAATGTTTGGAAGCGGCTTTCGTCACTGGACAGGATTACATTTTCTCGCTCCTTTTTTATTCATTGGTTAAAATTTCAGATAGAAAGGAACGTATTACATATCCAATGACAAGCGACCTGCACGTTTCTTAGAGGATGGGTGGTTGTCCATCTGTCTAACCAAACATCATTCTCCAAGAAAGTGGGCCAAGTAATGTTAGACGCAGGCACGGCTGTGGGTAAGTTCGTGTTGTTTGAAACCACCAAGTTTGTGGGAATCTGTGAGAGTGGCCATGGAGACTCACACACCATCCTTCCAGGGGAGAAGCCCTGGCTTGAGCAAGTCGGGGTCCACTGTAAAGCTGGGCTCTGGGCTACGTTTCCAGGGTCCAAGGGGCTCAGGAACAAAGGAGGAGGAGTCGGCCCCATAGCCACCTGGCCGGCCATCTGCCAACCTGGAGTGCAGGAAATCCACACGCAGGGGAGTTGGAACACCCCACTTTAGGGCTGTACCACAGCCTGGCCAGCAGCTCCCTGGGCCTGCTCGGGGCACCGTTTTCATGCGGGTGAAGTCTGGGCCTGGCTGTTTCGGAGCATTTGTCTTCAAAAGGCATGGCTCCCTTGCTGGCTTCCAGGGCTGATCCTGGAGCACCTGAGAGTGATTGTGGAGCCTCGGGGCGCTGAGCGGGGAGATCCCCACGGGCTCTGCTGGATTGTGAGCACCTGCTCTCTTACAGCAGATTTTGCTGCCAGGAAACTGCAAAGTGCACTATGTAATTTCAGCAGGGACTCTTTGGGGTGTGTTCAGCAGAGGCCTTGAAAGCAAATAATCCATTTATCAAGGTGCGTTTTGTTCCAAGAAAGAAGAACAAGGAGCCAGAGTTGGCAGAGCCCCTCTGCGCCTGGTGCACCTTAGTAAATCCCAAGCAGGGAGCCGAGACCCTGAAATGCTCAAGCAGCTTGAGTTTCCAGTCAGCTAGGGCCCTGGATACTAACCCCCTCAGGTTTCCTGAGGCATGTGGAGCAGGCCACTTTTGGTTCTGCAGATGTCAGAGACCTTGGGGGCCAGCAGGAGAGGCCGCCTGCAGAATCTGCCCAGGAAATCATGAAAGCTGTCCGCTATCCATCATTTCAGGTTCTTCTCAGATGGACATCACCCTTTTTTTTTTTTTTTTGTCACATAAGGCTATCACCCTTATTGTGGTTGCTTTCACATTCCTATAGTCTCTTGTTCTTAGAAACTTTTTTGTCTTACTGTAACTTAACAACATGATGGCAATAGTAGTAAGAATGATTATGGTGTTGGTGATGACAATGGTGGTGACAGTGGTGGTGATGGTGACGGCAGTGGTGGAGATGGTGGTAATGATGATAGTCGTGGTGGTGGTGGTGGTGGTGGTGATTAAGATGATAATGATGGTGATGATGGTGATGACAATGGTGGTGGTGGTGACAGTGGTGGTGGTGGTGACTAAAATAATGATGGTGATGATGATGGTGATGGTGGTGGCAGTGATGGTGGTCATGGTGATGGTGGTGGTGGTGGTGATGATGGTGGTATTGATAAAAGTGGTGGTGATGGTGACGGTGGTGGTGACAATGGTGGTAGTGGTGATGGTGGTGGTGGTGGTGGTGATGGTGGTGATGGTGGTGGTGGTGATGATAATGGTGGTGGTGGTCATGGTCATAATGGTGGTGGTGGTTGTGGTGATGCTGGTGATGCTGGTGATGGTGGTGGTGGTGGTGGTGATGGTTATGATGATGATGGTGATGGTGGTGGTGGTCGTGGTGATGATGGTTATGATGATGGTGGTGACAGTGGTGGCGGTGATGGTGGTGGTGGTGGTGGTGGTGATGGTTATGGTGATGATGGTGATGGTGGTGGTGGTCGTGGTGACGATGGTTATGATGATGGTGGTGACAGTGGTGGCGGTGATGGTGGTGGTGGTGGTGGTGATGATGGTTATGATGATGATGGTGGTGGTGGTGTTGATGGTGGTGATTATGGCGGTGGTGGTGGTGATGTGGTGATGGTGATGATGATGATGATGATGGGGATGCTGCTGGTGGTGGTGGTGAAGGTGATAATGATGGTGATGATGATAATAGTGGTGATGGTGCTGCTGCTCCTGATGATAGCAAGAATGACTTCTACCTGTTGAGCACTTGCCATATTCCAAGTACTTTGCTTATTGCTTTAAGTGAGGTGGTTTTAATATCATTACCATTACAAAGGTGAGGTTCTAAGGCTCAAGAGTCTAAGATACTCACTCACTGCCGTTGATCTGACTCATAGTGACCCCTCCTTGGGTTTCCGAGGTGGTATCACTATGGAAATAGATTGCCCAACCTTCCTTCTAAGGAGTGGCTCGTGGGTTTGAAACACCAGCCTTCTGGTTAGCAGTCAAGTGCCTTAGGCACTATGCCACCAGAGCTCCTGGAGTCTAAAATATTTTCTCCCCCTCCAAAAAAAGTATATATATATATATATATATATATCTCCAGTAAGTGGCAGGCAGAGACCCCCTGTTGGAGTTAATCTGCCTCCAGGAATGTTCTTGATGGGCAGGGTATGGTCCCTTTTCCTGGACTGGAAAGGGTGTTAGCTAAAATCCTTCCTGTTTCTTTCTACTTCTGGGACCTTGGCCAGGCCCTTAATTTCTGTGTGAATCAAGTTCAATCAGGGTTCCCCATCTGGCACTCTGGGACTTTCAGACAGGTGATTCCTTGTGGTAGGGGCTGTCCTGTGCTTTATAAGATGCTTAGCAGCGTCCTTGACCTTAACCCCTTAGATGCCAGTAGTTCCCAGATTCCAGTCGTGGGAACCAAAATGTCTCCAGATACAGACAATTGTCTCCCTGGGGGGATGGCACCCCCTCCTCCCTTGAGGACCACTGGCTTGGATACTCTTTGTGGAAGCATGTGGACACTGACACCCCACTGGACCAGTGACAGGAGTGGTTCCAGGGACACAGCTTAATTCTGGATTTAAAAAAAAAAAAAAAACAAGCTAATCAGATCTAGTTTTATTAGGGAACTTACAGACAGATGAGGTCATCACCAAGATTCCCACAACAGACACAGTACACCAAGTCACAGGGGCCATGCCACACTGGGTGGGGTGTGGGTTTATACACCTAGTGCTTATGAGAAGGGGTGTATGCAGGGGACCAGGAGGAGACATGGCTCATCTGTGATGGATGGTGGCTTTTCTCCAGTTGACATTACTGTGGAGTCAGGTGTTTAGTGTTTCTTCCTGGCTCAGGTGCTCTCCCAGAGTCCTTTGTGAGCAGGACCCGTCTTGTATTGTCCACGGCCCTCACACATGCCCTAAGAGTAATTTCACTTATGCTTTAGGATGTTTGCAGGAAGATTAATTTATTTTCTTATCCAAGTGAAGAGGAACTCTGGTCCTAGCACTTTGACCCCGGACCTTATGGGCACCTTCGGATCTTGTGTTCAGACCAAATGCCAGCCACCCCACCTTCGTGACTGACTTCACATATGGCCTATTTCAAACCTGTGCTTTCCCTCCATCAGTCCTTCGCTCATGCTGATCCAACCTGGAATCCTTTTCCTGCTTCCACTGATTTTTTCAAACTTATTTTTATTGTAGTGAATATGTATGTAGGAGCTTTGGTGGTACAGTGCTTAAGGCATTTGGCTGCTAAACAAAAGGTCAATGGTTCGAACCCACCATTTGCTCTGTGGAAGAAAGATAAGGCAGTCTGCTTCCATAAAGATTGACAGCCTTGGAAACCCGATGGGGGTTGCTGTGAGTCATAACTGACTCAGTGGCACTGAGTTTTGAAATATATTCGTGACCAAAACTTATCATTCAGACACACTTACATGTATGGTTCTGGGACATTCATCGTATTTATCATGTTATTCAACCATCACTGTTATCTGTTTCCAGATTTTTTTGGTTGATTTTAACAAAAGCCCATTGCCCCATGTGGTGGTATTGGTAGGTGCTGTCCAGCCAATTCCGACTCACAGTGACCCAATGGGACAGAGTAGGACTGCCTCATAGGGTTCCCTAGGCTGTAATCTTTATGGGGATAGATTTGGAGCTGCTGGGTAGATTGAACCACCAGGTCTTAGCTTAGCAGCTGAGAGCTTCTCTGTCTGTACCACCAGGGCTCCTTCAAACCCCTGGTGGCCACTCAAATTTGGTCTCTTCCTACCTGCCTGTTGTAGGTATTTGGTCTTTACACATAATTTATCTATTCTCGATATTCCGAGGGCCTTGTTTCAGGTCAATGACCGTTACTCACAGTCCAGACTCCCCTCTGCCTTGGAGATGTTGCACAGATGAAGCAGGAAAAGAGGGGAGTCCGTCATTGCTCACCGTGGCAGGGTGGCTGTGGAACAATTGGCTACCGCTTACGTGATGGTTCATGTGAGCGAGGTCAGTCCCTCTGTGACTGACTCACTGCAGTCAGCACATTGTTTTCAAGGTCTGAGCTCCTACCCATCCTCGGGTTCCAGCTCAAAGAGAGTCAACTCTAAGGATCCATCCCTGGACAACACATCCCAAAGGGAGCGTCCTGATACAGAGAGTTCATTCGATTAGTGAAGGGTTCATTTCCTCCCGTGTTACTCTGTCTGTGTTAGGTGACACGGACATCTCCCTTGGCCACTATCTCAGAATCTCAAAAACTCAATTTCCGGGAATGACTTTGCAGTAGTTCTCTGATGAGCAGCTGTTGGAGTGTACCCTATCCCCAGCCCTGACAGACAGGTGCAGATAAAGGCAATGGGTAAAATCAGAAGGGAGACTGCAGATGAACTCCCTGACAGGCCGGATGCAAGGGGCTGCTGCCAGCCATTCCCTCGCCACGGCCTTGGAAAACCAGATGCAGACTGTGCCCGGGTGTTCCTTCAGACCCACCAAGATGGCTCGAAGCCCGCAGTCCTGTCTCTCTGGAAGACACTGAGCAGAGGACTCGGGACAAGAGGGTGGTGTTCATCAGTGCTCACTGCATCATGGCAGCCATGGAATGGTTTGCTAGCACTCAGATGACACAGTTTTATGGGGAAAACAGGAAAAAGATACTGTAAAGGCTGGTCATCCCCTCTGCCTCTGTAATCTGCTGGATCAGTGGTTTCTGAAATGTGAGATGACTTTCACATTTCACAGTGAGGTGTAGACTGTGTGAGTGTGTGGTAGAGCTCTCCCCACCACCACGGGACCGTCACGTGCACGTCTGCATGGCTGCGGCGATGTACAGGCTGTATGAGTGCCTGATGGGGCTCTGCACTCGGCCATAGGACCATTCACGTGCACGTCTGCATTGCCAGGTTTCCCATCACCATAAGCAGGAACTCACCATCTCCTAAGCAATGTCAGTTCTGTTTTATTCTAATTTCTTCATGGAGAAAGCCTCATGCTGGTGTTGCTGTATCTTTAGCACCTTGCACTTGATAATCTCCCTACTCAACAAAAGAATGGCAAGCTTCAGCCATTGGCAGGGAACAATTTGGGACATATGGCCTTGGCTTTAGATGTACAGTAGGGTTCTTGAAACCCGATTATTAAGTTATTACCATCAAGAAATTATTCTAAATGTATTAATAATTGATAAGCTTATTGTTTAATTTATGATGGCTAAATTGGCATATAACAACAACAATTAAGTTATAATTAATAATTAGCATGCATATGTGACAAGCATTGTGAAAGTAGTATCTGAGCATTGGGAGCTCAGGAAACAGCATGCGAGGTTGGAGGTATCTGGTTTCCGGGGAGCTGTGTCTGGGGTCATGCATAGGTATCTGGTTTCCCGGGAGCTGTGTCTGGGGTCATGCATATATATCTGCCCATGCTTAATAAACTCCTTTTTCATCTTAGGGCAATAGTTTGTCCAGTCTCCATGGCTCCAGAAGGTCTGGATTCTATGAGAATTGGAAAATATGTTCTACAATTCCCCCCTTTTGATCAGGATTCTTCCATAGAATCTTTGACCAAAATGTTCAGTAATGGTATCCAGTCACCATCCAATTCTTGTCTCGTGGCAAAGGAGGTGGTTGTTCATGGAGGCAATTAGCCACACATTCTATTTTCTCCTCCTATTCCTGACTCCCCGTCCTCTGTTTCTGAAGGCAAATAAAGACCAACTGTTGTGCCTTGGACGACTGCTTGCAAGCTTTTAAGCACTCTGCAGTGAACCAGGATGTAGAGCAGAACTAAACATGTTATTATGCTCAGTAAATTCTTGATGTCTGTCCGCCTACCTACCTACCTACCTACTTACCTATCTCCTTAACTAGGTCCAGCAAGAAAGTATGAGCAAGGCATTTTTTGCTCCAAGCAAAGGGTAAAGAAAGCTTGTTTGAATGACAGAGGAGTCGTGAGAGAGGAGCAGCATGATGTCAAAGCCCATTCCATCTTTCTCTTTTAGGAAATAAATGCTGCACTTGCTTCAAAACAAAAGATTCATCATTTAGGATTTTTCCCCCCTTTTACCAAAAAGACAACAGGAAAAAGGGAGTCCTCCTGTGCAGGAAGAATGAAGCGGGACAAGAAAGCGTCTTGGCAGGTGCTTCCCGTGGTGGAATGCTGCACTCCACAGATGGGCTTAGAATCCTGTGTCCGGCTTCCTCATTGAGTCCTTGTCCCACGATCTCCTCCAAATACACAAGCCTCCAAATCTCTACACTTTGGGGCTTAAGAGCTTTTTTGGAGAAAGATGAATGCATCCACAGAACAGCACCATGTGGCAATTAGTCCATTGGGTTTTTTTTCTTAACACAGTACTACAAGTCTCCTAAATGGTCAATGATTTTTTAAAACACATCCAGCCAGAAGGAACCTTTTCTAGGATGTTGGACCTTGGCAAGGTCACTGGGACAAGAGCAGTAGTCAGTTCCGAAAGGAACGAGTTCAACGGGAGTGCCAGCATGTCCCCAGAGAAAAAGGGGCACACGTAGCCTGGTAATTAGTGACCTCAGAACAAGGCCTCTGGCCTGAGAACAGGGAGAATGTTGTTGGCTTTGAAAAGGCATCTTCACAACATCAGTCTGTTTGGCTGGAGCACCAAAGGCAGCTTTGATGTGCTGGCCAATGTCCCTGCCGGGGGAGGACTAGAGAACTTCCAGGGAGAAGGACGTAGCCTGTAGCTAGACAGCTAGTGTGTGCTGTCATGGGGGAGGGGGGCGGGAACATGTGCCGGTTGGAGCGAGGGGAGGAGAGAAAGGAACCTCATCTACTCTCAGTGTATGAATGGAGGCTTCTTGGGGTGTCCTCAGCTTGCCTTGAAGAACAACTGCAACAAGGTGGGCTTTGGGGAGCTGCAGAGGAGTATGTGGGCCACATTAACCTCTTGAGCCCTGGAGTGTGGGTTGCCGTTTCTTGCTATTGGATTGGCTCTGACTCATGGTGACCTGGTCCATCACAGAACAAAACACGCTTGCCCTGTGCCATGTTCATGATCACTGTTATGTGTGTGTCCACTGTTACAGCTGTTGTGACAACCAACCTATTGGAGGGCTTCCTTCCATTTTACTGACCTTCTACTTTACCAGCTGTCTTAGGCTAGGTTCTCTAGAGAGTCAGAACCAGTCAAGCTTACACACACACACACACACACAGAGGTGGAGACACAGAGACACAGATTTAGATAGATATGCAGAGAGAGATTGATTATGGATCTCAAGGACATGGCTCACATGGTTGTAGAGGCTGGCAAGTCCTAAGTCTATGGGTCAGACATCAGGCCGGAGGCTTCTCCTGACTATAGAGGCTGACGACCCCAAGATCAGCAGGCAGTAAGGCAGGCCACTGGCCCAGATCCGAAGAACTGGAGGTCAGATGATGAGTCAGATATAGAGTCCAGACTGAGCCAAAACGCCAGAGAGCTTTGTTTGAGTGTCCATATTGGGTGATTGTAGGCCACACCCCTCATAACTCCCTTTCAGCTGATTGGTTGCTCATAACAGATCTTATAATGGAGGTGATTACATTATATGAGATCTCATCATGGGGAGGACTACATCATAAGTGCCAAACCAGAGAGAGAATCGTGGCCCAGCCAAGTTGACACACAGCCTTGACCATCATACCAGCTATGACGTCCTTTTCTCTCAATTGGCCTTTTCCAATGCCGTCCCTGAGTGAGTGATCCAGAGTCTCCCACCCTCCCTTCTAAGGAGCGTTTGGACTATATTTCCTCTCTGACTGCCTTATGCATTCTTCTGACAGTCCACAGTATATCCACTACTTTCACCAACATCACAGTTTGAATGCATCCATTCTTCTATCCTCTGTTTTCATTGTCCAAGATTGACATTGGGAAAGTCAACTGCGAAGAAACTGTTTCAAGTGCTGAGGAGCAAGGATATCTCCTTGAGGACTAAGGTGTGCCTGACACAAGCCATGATATTTCCAATCACCTGGTATGCATGTGAGAGCTGGACAATGAATAAGGAAGACCGAAGAAGAGTTGATGCTTTTGAGTTGTGGTGCTGGTGAAGAATGCTGAAAGTACCATGGACTGCTAAAAGAACTAACAATCTGTCCTGGAGGAAGTGCAGCCAGAATGCTCCTTGGAAGCAAGAATGGCCAGACTTCGTCTCACCTATTTTGGTCATGTTGTAAGAAGGGACCATTCCCTGGAGAAGGATGTCATGCTTGGTAGGGTGGAGGGTCCACGGAAGAGGGGGAGGCCTTCAACGAGATGGATTGACACGGTGGCTGCGATGATGGGCTCAAGTATAGCAGGGATTGTGGGGCTGGCGCGGGATCGGGCAGTGTTTCGTTCTGCTGTGCATGGGGTTGCTATGAGTCGGAAACGACTCGACGGCACTTAACAACAACAACAACAACAACAAGATTGACAAGACCATGGCTTGAATCACATGCACCTTCATCATCAAAGAGGCACGGAGTGGAGAGTGAGTTGTTGGTGGAGCTCCCTACCATGCAAATAAAATCCCACAAGGAATCCTAGATAACAGGCACCCAGGCAGGAGCCTACCAGCTGCATAAAATGGATGTATAAAATGGATCAAGAAAGACAGGAAGAGGAGGGTGATTCTCTGTTGTTTCCTGCCTCAGTGGTGAACTTCTCACCCCGAGAGTAAATGGCTTGAATGGCTGAAAGGTTTTAAATCAGGAGTCTCAAACTTGAACAAGCCTGAGGGCTAAGAGGTCAGGTCATTGAGCAGTGTGTGTTGGGTGTAGGATAACAGCTGGCACGAGGATACTGAGTACCTTTGTTGTTACCAGATGGGCATAAAGTCTAAGTGTTGATACTTCCTCCTTGTGTAAGGCTTGCATGGCCTGTGGGACGTATATCACCCACCAACATTTTTGGCCCTTCAGGTTTCTTGGGAAGCTGATATCCCAGTTATAGTACATGCTGCCACCTGACAGGGACCTGCATAACTGCATGAATCTGAATAAACAGGCCTCGCCCCACCAATCCTACCACCAGAGTCCACGTGGGGTATGTGTGTCCCATATAATTGTATCAAAATCCCTATTACCTCAAATAAGTTTTTCCCTTGATTTCTGCATGCTTTTGATTACTGAAAACATACGGTGTCAACAAACAATTCAAAGCAGGGAATAATTCAGTCATGAAATCCAGATGCTTCCCAGTTCTGAAGCTGGGCTCTGATGCATACATTTAAAATACTGGGCCAAGGAGACCCATCTTCAGGCTGGGTGTTGCCATGTGAGGAGCAGTTTGGGATGACTGGTCTGAATACACTTGGAGAGCGGAGGGCACGCAGTGGAATCACCACCTGTGCTGGCTACCCAGAGAGGTAAATCCAGCTGCAGCCTAGCCCATTGGTGGTAGACCAGAGGCACCCAGGGCATCGGAGCAGGGCTCCCATCTTATGGAGAGAGGGTGGTATGTTCATTCAGCTTGACCTCTTCATCTCATGTGGAATAGTTGGCACTGCACTTTGGCATAGTGCCTAAGGCATCTCACTGCTAACCAGAAGGCTGGTGGTTCAAACCCACTGGCCACTTCTCAGAAGGAAGGTTGGACAATCTACTTCCCTAGATATACCACCTCGGAAACCCAAGGAGGGGTCGCTATGAGTTGAATCAACTAAATGGCAGTGAGTTTTTTGTTGTTGTTGTTGTTTTTGGTAAGAAGGAAGAGGCCAGATGGTGCCAGTAAGATGGAGCCTTTGCTGTTTGGCCCTCAGTCCCAGCGTGTCTGGGAACCTTCTCTGGAGGTCTTCCCCATTCTTCTCGGTTGCTGATAGTGCTCTGTTGTGTTTTACTATGTTTGCTGTGGTTTGTTCACCTGTTCTGTATATTGGCATGGAGTTTATGTAGACTATTTTGCTGTTAAGAACAATGCAGCAAGGAATGATGTGTGGTTTTGAATCACCTGAGGTGTATCTTCAAGGTAGACTCCTAGAAATGGGATCTCTGAATTGAAGACAAATGCATATGTAATTTTATGAGCTCTGGCCAAATTGCCTTTCAGAAGGGTGAGCCATTGTTTGTTCTCAGTGCAGTGGGCAAGGGTGTCTGTTGCCTGCAAACTTGCTAACAGTGTGTTGTTGTACTTAGTCATTTTTGCCAAGTTGATAGGTGAGAAGGGAGGCTGGGTCCCCATCTGTCTTCCCCTGATCTTTTCATTTATTTGCGGACATTTTTAACATATCTTTCATGATTGTCCTTGATGTGCTTTCCCATTCTTCCCTCAAGTTTTGTTGTTGTTTTCATCCTTTTTCCTCAAATTTCAAGAGCTCTGTTTATTAGAGATTTCAGCCCTTTATTTATGATACATACATTGCAAATACTTTCTCCAAATTTGTCATTTTTCTTTTGCCTTTGCTTGTGGGTTTTTGGTCTTTTCTTCTTGCCGAGCAAATAAGAAAATATTTTCACAGGCAAACTTATCCCTTGTTTTTTCATTGCATTTGGATTTTGAGCCACAGAAAGCTTTTCCTGTGCTCAGGTTAGAGAAGCATTCATCCACATTTGGTTCCAGTGCAGAAAAGGCTTTTTCTTACAGTTAGATTACCAACCCATTTGAAGTTTATTCTTGTGTATGGTGTGAGGTATGGATCTAATTTCATCTTTATTTCAAAATGGATAACCAGTTCTCCTAGCACCATTTGTTAAAAAGCCCATCTTTGCCTCATGATTTGTGATGTCTTCCTTACCACAGACTAAATTTCCATATATGTTTCAGTTGATCAACGTACTTTATTCTGTTCCCTTGGTGTTTATCTATTCATGCATCAGTACCATTAAATACATTTTAGACTCATACCAATTAGTAATAAAAATGTCCACTTTACTCTCTTGGCTAACAGTTTCTGTTAGGTTGAACTCTATGAAATTGAACTATTCAACCACCATTCACTTATAAAAATGTCCATTTCATGCATTTCAACCTAATTCGAGAATATAATTTGCAGACCACATAGGGTCATTTACTGGCTGATCCCAGAAGGAATACGAAAATTCCAGCCTCGTGAAGTGCAGAATTTCTCTCCCCCTTTTTCAAGTTGCTCATGGAGCTAATAGCTTCTGAGGAGCCCAGTACTGATGACTTCTTTGTCCTTCCCCCCTTTAGTGATAGAGGGCCGTGGCATCACAGATGACTTCCAGAGGGTCTCCTCGCTGCCACCCTATCTGCCTGTGAGCTATCATGTCCTCCGAGCAGAGACCTCCTTCTTCCTCAAGGAAACCAACCAGGACCTCACGCGTAACTCCAGTCTGCAACGCAGAGTAGAGTCTTTCTTCACCTACAGGGCCAAGTGGCCCCCAATTTTAAACACAAGCTATGGGCCCTTTTCAGTGGAAAAGGTTGTGCCTCTGGACTTGATGTTGACTTCAAACCTACTGGGTCCAACCAATAAGTTTAGCTTCAACTGGAAGCTGAAAGCCTACATCCTGCGGGACAGGGTCTACCTGAGCCGACCGCAGGTGCAGGTTCTGTTCTACATCGTGGGCCGGGACTGGGACGACCACGGGGCCTCGGAGACGCTGCCCTGCCTGCGCGTGTTTGCTTTCCGCGAGACCCGGGAGGTGAGGGGCAGCTGCCAGCTGCGAGGCCCGCTGGGGCTGTGCGTGGCCAAGCTGGAGCTCCTGCCCGGCTGGTTCGGCGCCCCCACCGTGGTGGCCGGGAGGAAGAAGGCGGCCGAGCGGCCCGGGGGGAGCCCGGTGGAGCTGTACTACGCCATCCAGCCGGGGGCCGAGCGCGGGGGCTGTGCTGGCGGTGACTTCAGGAAAGGCAATGCTATCCGGCCAGGGAAGGACGGGCTGGGCGAAGCCACCTCCCACCTTCACAGGATTGGTACCGTCAGCCTTTACCGGACCCAGGACAGCGCCCAGCTCAGCGAACTGAGGCTGGACAGCAATGTGGTCATCTGGCTGCCGTCGAGGCCAGTCAAGCAGGGAGACGTGGTCACGGCCTACGTCACCATTGCCAGCAACTCTACCGTGGACCTCTTCATCTTGAGGTAGGTGCCCTGATCGGGCCACGGGTCATCCTGGGCCTCGCAGGTGGGGGGTTGCATTGGGGCTCTGGGGATACACACTCAAGAAGATGCGCTTTCTGCTCCTTTCGGAGACCCTGCAGCCACACTGTGCACATAGAAGCTCCTTCTGTTGTTGGCTGCTGTTGTGTTGGCTTTGACTGGGGGGAACCTCACCCAGGGCAGAGTGAACTCCCGGGCCAGCTGCAGGATCGTGGGGGCGCTTGCGTCTGTGGTTGTGGCTGTGCCAGTCCGTGTCTAGGAAGGCCTCCTCCCTGAGGCTGACCCTCTGCCTGACAACCATGGTGTCCTTCTCTAGCTGTGGTCTTTCCTGATTGCGTGTCCAGAGCAAATGGGCCACTCTCACCACCTCACCTCCAAGGAGTGTTCTCGTACTCCTTCTAAGGCCACTCTGTTTGTTCTTCTGGTACCCACCATCCAGTCAACGTTCTTTGTCCCGCTGACTGGGAATTATGGAGGTCGGGTGGGTGAGAAATTGGATCTAAGAGAAGAGAGACCGGACAGAAACCACTAGCCTCTTTTGACCTTGAGTTGTCAGATGTGGACAGCGGCTTGGCTTTTCTTTTCTTTTGTTTACCTTTTTATTATGATTTGCCTGAAAGCTTAAAGAGCAAATTGGTTTTCCAGTCAACTGTTCATCTGCGTTGTGTTTCATGACGTTGATTGCAATGCCCACAATGTGACGCACTCTCCCCACTTCCCTCTGTGTTTACTGTCTCCGTTTGTCCTTCTTCCCCATCTGTTCCTGCCTTCTGAGCCTTGGAGCTCGTGTGGTTCATTATTCTGAGGAGTGAGTACCTCCCTGGTGTTACTGTTCACCTTACAGGCCTGTCTTTTGTTTGCGTCAAAGTTGAGCCATTGGGGTGAGTTCGGTTCCAGGCTTGAAGGGTGACCAAGGGCTGTAGTCTCGAGGGTTCCACCAATCTCTCTCCGACGAATAAGCCTGGGTATTGATGATTTTGAGTTTTGTTCCCCCGTTTTCTCCTGTTCTGTCCAGAACCATCTGTCGTGGTCGGCAGTAGGCCTTGGTCATTCTTTCCCTTCTGTTCTTTGGTCAGTAGCAAGATCCTTGCCCGGATGCAAGCATACATTCAAGAGTATCTCACCCCGGCGTATGTGTGCTGTAACCAGTGCCATCACCGCTTCGCTTCATTGGGTGGGACAGATGTTGCCGGTGAACGTTTGGGAAAGCCTCCATCTGTAAATTGTTTGCTGATGATTAAAGGACCGCCTGAGAGAAAACTGCCCAGCAGAGGCATAGCATCTCACACTGAGAACATAAAAAGCTAAATTACAGCAACCGCAGGACAGTCCGCCTACCACCAGCACTGCTGGTCAGCAGACAGCGCCAACATCTGAAGGAGGCCGCTCTGCCTCTCGGTGTAAACCCAGCGCCGCTGCGTGGACGCTGATTCCTGACGATCCCGTGCGTGTCCGACGGTACGACTCTGCTCTGCAGGCTTGGTGCTGGACGCTTGTTTGTCAGGAGCTCGCCAGGCCGTTCCTGAAAGCAGCCTTTGGGCGGACCCCCGACCTCTGGGTTAACAGCCGAGCACGATCACCGTTGGCAGATGAGTCTCAGACGGTTCTAATCCTGGGTCCTGGAGGACTTGTCTGTGGATAATCGGTCCTAGAGGAAATCCACTTAAGGCAATCGTCTTGAAATGTGGACCAGGATTTCCTAATAATGAGAAACGGTTTGATGGAGAGTTTTTTTATTTTTTATTTTTTATTTTTTTAAAATAAAAAAGAGCCTGAAGATGATAGTGAGACATTTCTCTGCTACGGTAAGGAAGGGCTGTGGCCGTGAGAGCCGCTGTGCTGCGGTGTTTGGGGACAGGGCACGAACTCGTGTGGAGCGAGGCACTGGGACACATACCGCACAAAGGATGAGCAGCGTGTCACGTGGGGTGTTTCTGTGCTCCTGTGCTGTGATTACAATGATGGTCATTGGTGGCTGGTTTTTTTTACCAAACTCGTTCAGAGTCTCCAACAAGCCCTCACCCTTCAGAGGACTCTCTTCTCGGGTGTCCGGTCTGCTGTCATCCTCAATGATTGTTTTTCAGTTTTTAAGGAGACAGATTTTGCCAAATGCTCACTTTTCAATGTCCTTCAATATGATCAGACCCAACATCCCAAGGGGGGACCTCATCAAACTTGACACTGTTGAAAAGAAGTAACATTGCCCCTTCTGTAGATTCCCACCACAGTGTAAGCACCCCATAGTCAGGGCCTGGTGGCTCAGGGGGTGGGAGGGACAGATACTCCGGTCAGAACCTGGGGGACGTGGCGCGAGCATCGTAACTGCTGGCCCCAGGATGTTCGTCTTTAGGATAAAGGATACAGCCGTGGGAAACACAGGGAGGACACAGGCGTTAAAGGCACAAAGGGGAATCGTGTCGCAGATGCAGGAAGTAGCGGCGGTCATGGGAGTCTGCCGGGGCCCACAGACAGACCCGCGAGCTGAGCGGGGGGCTGGCAAACGGGACCGCTGCACGGGTATATGTGGGTTTGACAGAGCACGTCTCCACCTGTGCATTCAGATGTGCTGCAAACATACCCACGAGTGCGGCAGAGCATTGGGGGGCACGTTATGAAAACTTCTCAGCCCAAACCAAACAACTTGAAGGGGAATGAGCTGCTGGGCCTGGGGCTCAGGACCACGGTCTCGGGGCCACTGAGGTCAGCTAACACAGTTCACAGAGACGGTGTTTTATCTACATCTTACGGTGCTGGCTTGCTCCTTCCAGCCTTGGAAGGAGGACAGTGACCCGGGAAACCTGAATTTATTTTTCCGGTGGCTCCCTTAGCTCTCTGGGTTCCAGGGGACTCGGCTGTGATATCCGACACTTCGTTTACACAGTGGACATTCTAGTACTGACCCAGCCAGGGCTTTGAAACAGAGATTGCTAGGCAGTGATGTTTCGGAATCCTCATTATCTCCGTTTCCACTTCGGGAAGCGCAGGCTCTGCCTCTACCAGGAAGGAACCCTAGTGGCACGACGGTTAAGCACTCAGCCGCTCGCCTGAAGGTTGGTGGTTTGAAGCCCCCCACTGGCTCCCTGGGAGAGAGACCTGGTGACCTGCCCCTGGAAAGATGATGGCTTAGGAAACCCCACTGGGCAGGTCTGCCCTGTCACGTGCGGTCACTATGAGTCGAGAGAGAGTCCACAGCAGAAAAGAACAACAACAACTGTAACCGTGGCCACCTGGGCCCCTAGATCGAAGGCAGCTGGGGTCTCCAGCTGCTCCCTGGAGGGCAGATATGCCCAGACATGGCTCGTGGAGACGAGAAGCTGTTTTCTTGAATTTTTTTTTTTTTTTTTAAATCACAGAGACAGGCATGGTGGTGGGCACCAACTCTGGAACCAGCCAACCTGAATTCTGATCTTGTTCATCCACCTGCTGGCTGTGTGACATTAGGGTACTTTCTTAACCTCCCTGGCCATCAGTTTCCTCCCTTATAAGACGAGGACAACAGCAGTCCCTGCTCTCCAGGGCTGTTGTCAGGGTGCAGAGGGCTAATCTTTGTTACCAAAACCAAAACCTAACTCACTTCCATTGAGTTGGTTCCGACTCATAGCGCTCCCTCATTGGGTTTCTGAGGTGGTATCACTACGGAAATAGATTGACCAACCTTCCTTCCGAGGACTGGCTGGTGGGTTTGAACTGTCAGCCTCCTGGTTAGCAGTCAAAAGCCTTAGGCACTAGGCACTTAGAATAGTGTCTGGACCACACCCAAATAAGGAAATAAGAAACCAAGTGCTGTGAGTCGACTCTGACTCCTGCTGCTCCCCATGGGCTGCAGGGGCTCTTCAATGGCTGGTGTCTGGGAAATGGTGTCAGGCTTTTCTTCCAAGGTGCCTCTGGGTGGACGCAAACCCGCCTTTCTGCTGGCAGCAGAGCACACGAGCTGTTTGCAGCACGCAGGGCCTGCTTCTGAGTGCAGAGGGGCATCATGGCACAGGTCTGGGTTGTAAGACCTTGTCACATTGCAGGCAGTTTGGTGTGGACTGAATTATGTCCCCAAAAGACACATGAAGTCCTAACCCCTGCGCCTGTGAGTGTGACCTCGTTTCGGCGGACTGGGGTTTTCTTTTGTTCTCAGTTCAAAGCAGGTCATTCCTGGAGTACAGTTGGCCCCAGTCCTAATTCCTTCTGAATGGTCTCTCGTACAGGACCTCTGGTGGCACACTGGTTAAAGCATGTGATTGCTAACCCGAAGGCTCACAGTTTGAACCCACCAGCTACTCCACAGGAGAGAGATGCAGAGTCTGGTTCCTTAAAGGGTTCAAGCCTTGGAGACCCTGTGGGCAGTTCTGCTCTGTCCTCTAGGGGCGCTGTGGGTCGGAATGGACTCCAGGCAGTGGGTGTGGTTTGGGCTTTGCTTCTGTGAAGACTGACAGCCTGGGAGACCCTGTGGGCAGTTC